AAAAGGAGAAAAAGAAAGACAGAAGAAGAGAGACTTACGCGATGTACATCTACAAAGTTTTGAAACAGGTGAGTGAGGAAAGCGCGCCGAGCATTAACTCCTCTGGTTTTCTTATCTTAACACCCCTTTCCCTGTTTTCCCAAAGGTTCATCCGGACACGGGGATTTCGAGCAGGGCCATGAGCATCATGAACTCCTTCGTGAATGACCTGTTCGAGAGGATCGCCACCGAGGCGTCCCGGCTGGCTCAATACAACAAACGCTCCACCATCACCAGCAGAGAGGTGCAAACCGCAGTGAGGCTGCTGCTGCCCGGCGAGCTGGCCAAACACGCCGTGTCTGAGGGCACCAAGGCTGTCACCAAGTACACCAGCTCCAAGTGAAGACTTCACAGCAAGGGTTTCAGACCTGTGCATCAGTGCTGTCTTAACGTGCTCAATTTCAATAAATGTAAATGAATGTTTCGATTAACTACTATAACGCACAACACGAAATCGCACTGCAAGTCACTACTTTTTAAATCCAGTTTTTAATTTAGGAGGAAACGGTACATGTTAGCCACTAGGTGGGGTAATTGCACATGGTATCCAGGCATACTGACTGGGGAGCAGTACCGGTCCATCTTGGACGAACTGGCTCATAAGCCTTAGTCCTCCACCGTTTTGACAACACAGCTCTTACTATTGCGCAAAATATGACTGATACTAGGGGTCAGCTGTCAGTAACATTAGAACTGCTATTGCTAAAATCCGCTGTGTGTCGCAATAACCCGCATGAATGGAGGTCATTATGGTAGGCGTTTATCTTTTACATCTGCATTTAGTGGCTGAGTAATAAAGTCTAGGCTTTCTGGCACAAACACTTGAACACCACTGTTTGTCAAATGCTAAATGAAATCCAAAGATGTCTAAAACCCCAGAATTGGTCAGTTCCCACTCGACTATGTCCACCTAAGGTGTTAATCTTTTAAGTCAGTGTGACATATAACTGGTTGCACGTTATGTAGAAAATGTGCATGTGGAATTCTTTTTCTGGTGCTCATTGTAATGAACTCAGATGTGTCCTCCTCACTTTAGGACTGTCCTCAAGCTGTTTTATTTTTGTAGGGATACTCACAGCTGTAGTCTTTTTCAATGTTATGTGGAGGATGTGCATATTAAATGTGCTTTAACTTTTTCTGTTCATTTACTTAACTGAGATGCATCTTTGTGAACTGCTGATACCAGATGTGAGATGTGTGCATATAACTTTTAGTATTTAACTCAAATCACCAGTTATATAAAGTTATGGAAACAAAATGAGCAGTCACCTTCATGATTATTTTTTTGCATAATATATGGCTATAACCAGCACCTACATTTCTGTGTGCGTTCACCAGACAATTCTTCCTGACTCTACAACTGACCCCACAATATGATCACTGAATACTGATGACAAAACCACACAAGAGCTGAAAATATTAGACTGTGGCATTTCACTTGAGTGTGAAGGGGCCTAGTGACTAATTTCTGGTTGCAGAACAATATGCAAGTTGTTCTGAGTCCTCATACCTGACCCACATGTGCACATCAACTCTTACCAACCCTAAAGCAAAAGGCACTTGGTCATGTATTTCTTGACTAGACAAATGAGGTTGCACTAAGAACACACCAGCTGAGACAGGTGTGGAATCAAAACTGTGGCTGCTGTGTTACAACCACTGAAATACAGTAAAAAAAAAAAATTGTGAGCAAATTGTGTTTCAAGAAACAAATGTAAAAGTCCCCTTCTGTGTGACTAATAAATTATTAGGCCTGTACTGGATGACATGATCCCACATTCTGCTCAAGGTGGAGCTAGTGTTCATTTATATATAGTTGGATATTCTAGTATAACTTTCCCAAGACAGTAAGGCCTCTGCTAAGGTTCAGAAGATAAGACTTTTCTGTAAGCTTTGCAGTTGTTGTGGATAATTTTTACTTTCTGGGCCTTGAACAGTTATCTAAATTACACCATGTGCGATGTTTTAGAGAGGAAAACACATCCTTTTATGACTACTAAAAACTCCAAGGCATTTGAAATGTGACAAGGGCTACCTTAACATGCTAGTACCGTACTAATGTTTCTAACCATTTCCGCCATTACAGAGACCTCTTAAATGTGATAAGAAAAACGTTTTGGGAGTCAACTGGGACCATAGCTATAGCTAAATATTTTCAAACAAATGTTTTGTACGTTAGGAAATGTAAACAACCAGCACAAGCTAACCTATCAGCAATGGTTGACCCTGTTGAATTGGTCTTTTAGCTAGGTGTGCCTGTCGCTTTCTGCAATAATGACGACACCTGGTGTAGCCTACACATTAACACGCCAAACTTTAAAACAAACAGCATCATTTCTCGACACTTAATGATGGTTTTCCAGGCATTACCAGATTCCTCAAGTCTCCATCCAGCTACAACAAAACAAAACAAACATCCCCAACTGCGACAAAAAAAACCCCGTTGTTTATAAAGTTGAGTGCGACTGCCCAAACAAAGTCAGCTATTGCTTGTATGCTTGTAATATGTTACCTTTCATACATATATGTATATAGGTGATGTTCTCTAAATGATGAGAAGTGTGAGCAGAAGTATAAGAAACTGTTTTAAAAGTAATATGCCAGCTAAACAGACAAGTGGTTGAGGAAATATCTTTGAAGCAGATGTTAAGTGTTGTAAAATAACCTGCAGTTTTTCAAAGTTTGTCCTATCTAGGCCTATGTTTAAGGGAAAAGAAGAGCTCTGACTCCGTTGTAATTAGGCTACTTCACATGTCAGGACAATGATTATAGAGGTACAAACTGTTTAATCTACCTATTATATTTCAAAGTGCCACAGCAGTCTGCTTTTTTAAAGTAGGCTAATCTTTTTCACCTCTGATGCGTTCATCTGAACCCTGACCCGACCCATTATTCAGTTAGCTTTCAAAATGGACATATTTATCAACTGACAGAGGCACTAATGCAACATTGTGTCCTTGTTATGCATTCTAATCAGGTTTTTAAAAGACGACACTGTCAGCTGAATAGTACTTGATTACAGGATAATGACACTAGCATTTGCACCAGTCCAATCTGCATAAAATGGAGGAACTGATAAAGGTCTCTCTAATTAGGATGGTGTTTACATCAGGCTTTACATACACCTATTAGGCTACCCTTATCAAGATCCTACAAAGCCAGGCTCACGGTGATAATGCACTTGGCTGTGACTCCCACCACTGACTGTTATTGTTGAGATGCCCATTTTAGATGTTTCCCAGTATTCTTGGTAATGACGTGAAATCTGCTGATGTTATTATGAGGGTGATACAGTTTTTGATGGCAGTGACTTTGTTCATGATTATCATAGCCATTTAGGCTTTGCATCTTGCACCCTTCCCCATATCCCCTCTCATGCCCATGCCTAGTGGTAGTCATTGCTGTCTCCTTTAGGCAGACTGCTATGAACACATTATGGATGGGTGCATTAGTGAGTGATGCAGAGCCGGGGTTGGCTTGCCTTGTTTTCGTGTGAGAGTGCATCATTAGAAAATGTTCCACTTGGCAGGGAAGCGCGTATTAACTGCAACCGCAATGAAATGAGGTTGTGATAGATGGTTAAAGTTATGCAGGACTATTAGGTTGAAATATGAACCTTTCAATTGTCATGATGAAACAGAGGGCTATTTGCGTGGTGATCAGTGCATTGAGAGACAATTGGAATCTGCAAAAACCGATACAATACATTATAGGTAGTGGGGCTCAGAGCTGAAAGAGTACAGAAAAAGTAATCATGCTTCCGCCAAAGAGTTTGGAGCTACTGTTCAGTTCAAGGCTCTGTAAATTCATTTAGGTTCTCCACCAACATCTTGGGCACTGTGATGAAACCTGGGGGTAGATTTACAAGCAGGGCACCTTGTCTAAGCCCTGTTGTGGACCATGATGAGCCATATACTGTTTATGGAATAAACCAGAGTTGATTGGCTATCAAAGGCACCTTAATAGCATGGGCGACTTAAAGCAGTATGTGTGTGTTGACCCTAATGTGTCTATATGGACAATAAAGTCAATATACAAAAAAAATAGACTAACCCTAGATGTAAATTGGAACCAGTAGACAAGTGTGTACATTCAATAGCTTCCCTTTAGATAATGGTGGTAGTCAGTTAAGCATGCTAATTATCTTTTACCATGTTTCCATGGTGACCTCCCAGTTATTCTACCAGCAAAATGCAAACTTCAGACCCCATTTCCTTTTAGATGTGAACTGAAATTTGTAAATTGGATATTAATTGCTCTCACACCAACACAGAATTGCCAGAATGCCAAACATAATCTCGCTGTCTGCAATTAGAATAATATTAAATAGTAAATAAATTGTTCAAATAAGAAACACCTTATGGATAATCGGACATGTCGTGGTTACACTTTCTAAACATAGACTTTCTTTGGGTGCAACTGACTGTCTTAAACTAACAACAGATCCAATTGCAAACCCATTAGCATGTAATATTACTGTAATTACTGTGTACATTTCATTATGTTCTCAGTATATTAAATGACTGCTGAGTGTGGAGGGAGGGCTATAGTTTAATCTCTGTCTGTATTACTGTGTGCCACAGTACTCAAAACAGCATTAAGAGGCACATAATCAGAGGGAACTAATTGCCTATGATTGGATAAATGAAGTGCCTCACTCTCATCAGGGCTGTTGCTCATGTCCAGCCTCTTACCACCCTGGGAGAGGAAGGTGGTTGACCACAGTGTAGGAAACTTTGGAGAGACAGCTACTGATGGGTAATGTGAGGAAACCAGAGATTTAATATGTCCACGGGGAGCTGTGAGGGCAGGGGGTGTCACTACTATTGCTGATGTTTTTTTTTTTTTGTTGTTGTCATCAGACTTGGCTTCGCTTCTGAGAAGAAAAAAAGAAAGAAAGAAAGAAACATGAATGCCCACCATTTGAGAAATGAATTTATCGAAGTCGCTGTCTTTTTCCCCATTAGTAAGTGTTTAGTTCAGCGTTTTAAATAATTGCGTTACTAGGAATGATATTTAAAATACATTTGGGAGTCAATGAGGCGGGAAAGTGCCTACATGTTTTGCTGATGACACCCGGGCCATTTGGAAGACATCAAAGTAGAGAGGAGGTAGACCAGATGCATATTATAAACTCATTATGTATATCATTTAAAAGGATGTACTCCAGCCGCAAAAACAATATTCCTAGTCTCTCTCTGGTAATGTGTGTTTTCAAAGTTGAAACTCTTACTCGCCTTCAGTTTAATGTGGCATCTATTACCAAACTGTAACATAAAATAAATGACCTTGATTTCCATACCAGAACAGTCATTAAGGTATAGATGAGATGCAGCTATATGCTTCTGTGTTTTCAAATGGGAAGGAAGGTAAAACCTCTCCGCAAATAGCACGTATTTTTTCACCTGAGGTGCAGACCTTGTTTTCTGCAGAGCTTGCAGGTACCTCCAACAAAGAGGTGAATAAGCAGACATTTAAAAAAAATATATCTTGGTACACTGTGAATCAAACACTAGGAATTGTTTGATGCCTAGCTAGCAGACCTAAAAAGCTTAATTATGCACTGGCCCTCTTCCATCAGAACAAGATATGAAGGGCAGAGTGACACAGCGGTCGCCAGTCATTCAGCCTAATGTTCTAATGCAGGGAGCCTTGTGGATACTTAACATCTATTAATGCTCCAGATAAAAAAAAAAAAAAAAGGACTACTGAGCAGAGACATTTTGCAAACACACACACAAATAGCACACAATTAGGGCATTCTTGTTTGCTCTTGTTCTATAAAAAAATATTTAGAAAAAGGAAAAGTACAGTATGACTTAAAAAGTTGTCCAAATGTTTAAGCCAGCTATTACTTTTTAACTATATAGTATAACAGGTTTCTAATCAAATTACTTTAAATGAACTATGCTTGCTCAGCACATTTAGAGTCAGACTGGTGGAAATACACTAAAAGTATCAGGAAAATGCATTATTTAAAAAAATAAAATCTCTAAATGTTAATGTTACCTATAGTTTGTTAAGTAAACAAAGACCCCATATTCTCATTTTGTAATTGGATATGGTGTGATTATGAAAGCATGTTGTAATGCCCCCAAAGCAGCATGTATTATCGCTACAAAACATGAGTTCATTCAACTCATTTGATACTTGAAGTCTGTCAGAGACACTTCATGGCTGTAACTTTGCTGGAGGCAAACAGAAGAGGCTCGAGTGGCTGCATATGAGACATAAAAATAGAATTACTTGTCACACTGCAGGGTGGATCTCATACCGAATTTCAAAACAACTCTGTGAACCAACCCTGTGAACAGCCGGCGGGCGCATAGTGGACATTAGCCAGAGAGTGAAACAACACTACAAACAGAGAGATACTGTAGGCCTTTTTAGACAGTTCTTCCTCACTTAATCATACACAACCACTTCTCTTGTGAGAGACAAGCCATTCAGCATGTCGCGAAGCAGCTTTGTCTTCACACCCATGGCCTTACGCTCCCTTGAACTTGATGAGGACATGCTAGAGAGATACAAGTACAAGAGGCAGCTGGCCTCCCGTCACCTCAACAGCTATATGCTGAAGAAGGAGACCAAAGACAGGGCGCTGCTGGGCTCTAGCACTGCCCTGCTGCCAGCTGTGTGCCAAGATGTGGTCGTCCACAATGCTCTGTATACAGGAAACCTGGAGGCTATGCAGCACCTCTTTCCTAGAGGATCCACAGCAAACCTCATCATTGAGCCACAGGGAGGGGACATGCGCTGGGTCGCCACAGGGCAAGGTAGGAGATGACATCTGTCCTCATTAGGAGTCATTTTAGGAATTCATATGATTTGGCATAGCATCGCTAGTAGCTTTGTTGTATTTCCTGGGGATAATTCAGAATTTGTAAAATATTTCTTATCTTAACAGAAGTGACGGACATTACTTGTGCTGTGTGGGAAAAGGGAGAAAGTAAAAATTTACTAATTTATTAAAATGATTTTAATATGCAACATTAGTACCTGGTGCATCTCCACCTGTGGCAGTATTTAAAGGCAGTCATGCAATATTTTTAGAAACCGAACACAAGGCAATATTTATAGAAATCAGACTTAGGAGTCATTTGTTTGTTCTGTGTAACAGGCTGTTAATCCACCAGATTCAGCTTTGGCTTTTCACTGAAGACTAAATAAAGACTGCCTTTTTAAAATTCTGTTACAAATTAACATTTTGAGTCAGTTTCCACATGCACATGTTGTTGACTCACTGGAAATAAATGCTTAAGTTAAGTTCAGGTTAAAATTTTGGATGAATATATAAAATATCAAACAAATGTCCCACTTCTGATTGCTTCAGTGCAAACATGCAGTGTCCATTGATTTCAGTAGATTAGCTGTATCACTAGGCAAGTGACATGTGATACACTAGTCACTGGTTCCCATGCTGCTGCACTGGGTTCACTGGGTCAGCCAAAACACCACATAACACCTCCTTGAAATAGCCGTGGCTGCATAAACAACTGGCATTAAGTGCTTATTCCCTCCAGGAGCAAGCACACGACTAACATTAACTGGCATTGAAATAAACAAACCAGTTAGCCACAGTATAGCATGGCTTATATAGGACATAAGATCAAGTGGCACAAACCAAAGACCTATCGCAACGATGTAATCGCAACAGCCAAGGCCACAGGCTGCGTCCTGCAGTTCTGGAACTCTCTGCTTGTTGGAGATGAGCTGACGATTCTCAGTATTGTGGACGATGACGAGTACGACTACCTTATCGATGCTGTATATGACACAAGCAACATAGAGGAGTGGAAGAACTTCAGATTTAACTACAGGGGCCTCCGTAGGTTTTCTAGAGCTTTGATTTTATAGTTGTGATCACCCTTTCTTTTCTGGTAATCTGCATCAGCCAGCGCTGTTGACATTCTGAGGAGGGATGAATCAGAAATGGTTGTTATGATGCTACAGTGTTATTCTAGTTCCCTAAAACAAAACTCCTGCAGTACTCAGTTCTCACATCTGATTATTTGCAGTGGTCCTAACGCTTGAACTCAGAGTTGACTATGTCAATTATACTTCCTATTGGCAGGACTATGGTCACTGACTTACGAGCAGGAACTGACCACACCGCTTCACATCACAGCTGGCCGAGGATTCAAGGACTGCCTGAGACTCCTGCTGCAACGCGGGGCCAGTGTAGAGCTAGCACCTGGTGGCACCACCGCTCTGCATGAGTCCTGTGAAAACTGCCAGTCAGAGTGTACAAAACTGCTGCTGATGCACGGTGCCAACGCCAATGCTGTCTCAGAAGATGGCCTCATGCCATTGCATTTTTGTACAAGTCCAGAGTCCCTCGAGTGAGTAAGGCAGAATAAAACTAGGATACCTGTGCTTCATCAGTAATTCCATTTGTGGAATGACAGATAGAATTAGAGCTTTGGATGCTGATTTTTTTTTTTTTGGTCTACTTATTGTTACAATAACCAAAGAACCACATGTTATGATAGAACAGCCTCCCACCAAGAGGAGCCAGTTGTAAGACCTTTAAACAAATAGGCACAAGAGTGGGAAAGGATGAATGTACATACAGTAGCACAAGTAAAGGGCCATGAATAAGGCATTGAACTGACTCAGTAATGTCAACTATAAAGCATTTTTTCCGTAAAATTTTGTAATATGAACTAACATTACTGACCATAAGCTTCGAGTCATGCTGTATAACTGCAAAACCCTTGAGTGTGTTCATTCTTCATTAATTAATTCACCTTTTGAAAGAGGAAAATTGTGTTATTTCTTCTTTCAAGAGTTGTATAGTTTCATTTTAAAGCCACCCACTGTTCTTTGGAGTGCATGAAAATTAGCTGGCAGGTGTTTCTATATTTTTGCCCATACATGAGAGGCTCAGAATATTAGGAAAACAAGTTGCTGCTCTCTGTCTGCAGATGCGCCAAGTATCTCCTTCAGTACGGTGCATCAGTCAGTGGTCGCACTCAAAATGAAGATGACACTCCCTTACATGTGGCAGCCAGCAACGGCCTCCCAGACCACACTGAGCTTTACCTGCGGTACGGAGCTGTCGTGGACAAACAGAATGATGAGGGTTTTACGCCGCTCAACACTGCTTGCTCTCAGCCCCAGGAGGTGCAGGACCTCCAGCGTTACTTCAAGGTGTGTCAGATGCTGCTGGGGGCAGGGGCCGATGTTCATACTATGGACCAGGACAAGCGCACTCCTTTGCATATGGCCTGTAAGAATGCAAATCCAGACATAGTGGATCTGCTGCTGGCTCACGGGGCCAGTGTTAATAACATGGATTATGGTGGTGAAGCTCCCCTGCACAACATCCTGAAGGTTGTGTGCTACAAGGTTTCCCATCACCCCGAGAGGATTGTTCGTGCTCTACTCAATCATGGCTCCATTCGAGTGTGGCCTGGAGCTCTGCCCAAGGTAGGACCCCAAAAACAACATGTATTCTTGTGCATGTAATAGGAAGTGATGCATTCCAGATTTGTATATCTTATGTACAGTATTCATCCAGTTGGCGCAATTTGCATAATTAGCAAGTAGTGCACATGTGACACCTTGGGTAAGAGCCTTGAAACACTAAACTGTTCCTTGCAATATTCCAGACCTCACAACTTCACATTCAAATCATTCGTGACACAACATGAAGTGTTGCACTCTCTGCGGGAAACAGACTACAACTATCAGTGAACCCACGTGCACTAGACAAAATGCCTGGTTCCTAATTAGGCAAGTGTTAATAGGAGATTAATTAGCACTAATTGCATAATTTCCAGTTAAACCCCTGGAGGGAAGACCAATCTGTTCATTTCACAAGTGTTTAATTACTTTATTTCTTCAGTTCTGTCAAGTCACAGGCTTGCTCATGAACTTAAAATGATGGGTATATCAGTCCTATTGCTTTGGTCTGTGCTGTGGTGTTTCCTTTAGGTTTTGAAGCACTGCTCTGAATCTCCACGCACCATAGAGGTTCTTCTGAACGCCTACAGTTACCTCAAAGTCACAGACACCTGGGTTGAGTCTGTTTCTACAGAGTTGTTTAAGGCAAGCTCTTTAAATTATTAATTTATAAGTAGGGAATAACCAACATGTGTGTTTTATGGCAAATATTTTTAAGTTTTATTTTATTTTGTTTTATGTCTTTAAATAGCATCTTCTTTAATTTATTTATGGCATTTTTATGCCCCAAAATTGCATTTTTGGTCACAGTACCTGGCTGAGAGGCTCCAATAAAATTATTGCTGACTGCATTACAGTTTTGATGGTTTAACTATCCATACACTGGAGATTCAGAAGGTTTTTAAACAGCTAATTCATTTCCAAAAACATTATGATGGTTACAGTGTGTGAATAAACCAAATGTGCAAAAAATAAAATGTCTTGTGTAGGTTACACAGACTACTTATAGCTATAGTGAGTGTTGCAGTGGACTGCACCAGCTGAATTTTAGATATTCACAAATAGCTTATATCTACAACACACAGATAAGTTACCCAGTGAATCTTTAGGCCTACTACTTTTTCACTCTATAATACAAGCTGATTTGCTGCAAAGTGAGACAAATAATAGAAGTGTTTCACCAAATGAAGTTGTGTTTCTTCCCAATCAGGAGCACAAAGAGTTCTTCGAGTCAATCTTCTCCTTAGCACTGACTCCTCGCTCCCTGCAGCACTTGGCACGATGCAGACTCAGGAACTTCCTTGGGGGGCGAGTACACAAGGTGGTCCCTAAACTTGATCTGCCCACCTTCATCAAGAACTACCTGCTCTTGGAGTACAGAGGCTATATCCATTAAGAGCCATTTGCACAGCCAGTCAGCGTGAGTCCTGATGAAGACAGTGCTGCTAAATGTGAGGAGGAAGTGACACTCCAACACTGTAGCAGAATACATCAATGCACCTAACGTTTTTTTAATACAGTTTTGCGCCACGGGAGGAAGAATCAGCTCCTCGTTTTCTCTCCCTTTTATTCCGGATCATCTTTCAGAAGGCGCATGTTTCATTTTACACCACAAGAGGGAGCTGTAGACTAGAGTTAATAACCTAAATAGTGGGTATTCAATTGAATGTTTCATATTCTATCAATTTTATGATCATATTTTTTACCGTGTGCACCTGATAGTAAAGAGGGTAACCTGCTTGTATTTTTTATACATAGTAATTCTCATAGTTTGACGTTAATCCGCACGGTAATGATGTGTGTGATTGTACACTGAGGACTGCCATCTATTATTTGCATGAATAATTATTATTCACACCGCTATGACTGTAGTTAGGCATTTTATATCAAAACTAAGCTTGGTATAAAATAAAGTATCCCACCATGGCTTAGTCAATGTTTATTTCTTGATGTCATACATTTTTAATTTTTATTTCTTATCTCACACTTCTGCCTATAGTCTCCTGCTTAGTGTTGACTGTTCGTTTTCACCAGTGTGTTTTCTTTTTATAAAAAATATTTATGTCATAAAATATATTTAAAATGTACCATGGTCAATTGAATTTAAGCAACGTTTTAGTTCACAAAGGCAAATTAAAAGTTTGAAATCCAAAACTAATTGAGGATACCTAAATAAATTTGAATTACAATAGAAATGATAGTTCTGAACAAAGTGTAATGCGAGGTTTTATTATGAGATGGCAGGAAAGATTTATATTCTGGTCATTTGAGTTAGAAAGCCTACAGCTTTTCATACACCGAAGGACCAGACAAAAAGAGTTAAACCTGTCGTCCTCACTCATCAATCATTTACGAAAAAAGTTACATTCGAAAGATACTGTCTTTATAGTCCTATGTAATTGGTATATACAAATAAAGATTCTATCCAGACCTGCTTTTATTTATGTTATTTATACTGGAAAACCACTCACTTGGCAAATACATGTGCATTTCATAATAGCAGGGTGCAGCAGGACGTTTCAGAAATCGTGCATAAAACGTCTTAAAATAAATTCAAATTGTGAATCCTTTTAAATGGAAATTCGTCTTAAAAAGTGACTAAAATTCGTTAAATAAAACAGAGAATTCCTCTCAGAGAGAAAGAGAGAGAGAGAGAGAGGGGAGCTCGGCAAATGGCTTCATTAGATCAAAGAGAGGTGCTGCTGAAGTCACTTGCAATTACAAGAATTAGCCTGGCCTGGCCCTCCACTGCTAATCAGACTCGGTGCTTATATGTTTATGTCCTCATGCAATCAGACGACCAGTTGGAGAGCCCGGGCATCCAGGACTCAATAGGGCTAATCATCATCAGTTCCCATTGCCATTTAAAAGGTGAAATGATCTGCGATTTAAAAAGTGATTACAGAAAAGAGACGTTTTTTGTCTCCAAATGTATTTTTGAACAGGGATGAATTGGTGCTTCCAGTGCGTAAAGCAAAACGTGTGCGTCATTTAGCCTAATTAAAAAAAATATTGACAGATTATCTATAGGAAACATTAAATTTTATAATTAACAGTATTTTAAATCAATTCCACCGAGTTCAAAGTGAAAATGCACTCATATTTGACTTTGGCTACTGTGCGTCCGCGTCCCCGCTGCCGTTGACCTCGCATAAATGCCCTTTATCTGAATCTAATTTCGCACAGAGTACCTCACTCCAGGGAACAATTGTTGGAGCACTTCTTTTTTGAAGCCAAACACATTGTTTTTAGCCGCGGAGAATAGGACAGAGAGCGGAGAAACATCTGCCTCCCCTCCATCCTGACTGTGATACCCATCGGCCCCAATATTTCAACAAAAGCCACCGTTGTTTTACGCTGTCCCTTGGATCCAGAGTAATTACTTATCATCAATCAAAATTAATAATAGCTGATTGGGTTGGTGTGGTCAACGATTATAGAAGGGGAAGGGCTGGAACAGTCTCTCACACCGTTTTTCAGTCAATGGTGAACCTGGCAAAAGGGGAGGAGGGCTTGGGGTGCGACCCGTCTATTTGGTCTTCACTGGGAAACTACCGCCTCTCAAGACGGCCAAAAAGTCAGAGGCTGAATAAGGAAATGAAGCGTAATTTGAGGAAGATGGATGAGCCCCCGGGGAAACACCCCCTTTTCATTCCTCTTGTATTGCAGATGATAACCAATACGCTCTCTCCCTCTCTTTCTGCGCGCACTCACAGGGTGCATCGGAGAAGGGAGGAGGGAGGAGTTGGAGAGAGGGACGAGGTGGATAGATAGAGAGAGCGTGTGTTTATGCCTCAGTGTGTGACAAATAAGAGGGAAAAGGTAGCGGTGAGGCACACAACAAAGCGCCCCACTGACTGACGCATATAGAGTGCAGGGAGCTAGAGAAGCAGTCCACTCCCAGGGATGACAACACGGAACAGGATCTACTTTCAGTTCACTCTGTCTTTAAATTGAAAGTTTTGCGCGTCGCCGAGGAAAGGACACCTGCTTTCAAGTTTCCACCAAATAAAAGTGCTTTCCTGCAAAATGCAGAGACCTGGTGGCCAAGGGACGGCGTTTTCAATCGATTCCCTGATAGGGACCCCTCAGCCCAGACCGGGACACCTGCTCTACACGGGCTATCCTATGTTCATGCCATACAGACCGTTGGTAATTCCACAAGCTTTATCCCACTCGCCTTTATCGTCTGGTATACCTCCACTTGCGCCTTTGGCATCTTTTGCGGGACGGCTCACCAACACATTCTGTGCCAGTTTGGGACAGGGGGTGCCATCCATGGTTGCGCTCACCACAACGATGCCGAGTTTCTCGGATCCCCCGGACAGTTTCTACCCGCCACAAGAGCTGCCAGGCCCCCGTTTAAGCGCCGCCGATCCAGGAGCAAGAAGACAGGAAAGT